TTGAAGTATTCAAAAGTAAACATATTAAACTTAAAAATGCAGTTGAAAGCCCTGGCTGGCGTAGCTCAGTGGATTGAGCGCAGGCTGCGAACCAAAGTGTTGCAGGTTCGATTCCCAGCCAGGGTGCATGCCTGGGTTGCAGGCCATAACCCCCAGCAACCACACATTGATGTTTCTCTCTCTCTCTCTATCTCCCTCCCTTCCCTTTCTAAAAATAAATAAATAAATAAATAAAATCTTTTAAAAAATGCAGTTGAAGATGTTTAAGAGAATGTAATTAACTAAGTTTGTAAATGGGACTAATATTAATATGTGTCCATGAGTTAACTGAAAATCAGTGAACAAGTGAAAGTATGTATTTTTTTAAAGAATCATTAGCCCTGGTCAGTGTGGCTCAGCTGGTTGGAATGTCATCCCATAAACTGAAAGGTCATGAGTTCAATTCCCGGTCGGGGCACATGCCCTGGTTGCAGGATCTGTCCGCAGTCAGGCACATATGAAGCAACCAATCAATCTTTCTCTCTCACATTGATGTTTTTCTCCCTCTCTATCTCTTCCTCCCTTCCCCTCTCTCTCTCAAGTCAGTAAGCATATCCTCAGGTGAAGATTAAAAAAAAAGAATCATTAGATGTATAAATAAAAAGATTTGAAAGTTGACTTTAATGGCAAAAAGAAAACTAGCCTTTTGCATTTTGAGCTTGGATGTCTAACTAGGCATCTCACACACGTTCCAAGTGGAGCTGCTACCTCCCTACAGCCTCCCCAGCCAAATAAATGCCAATTTTATTTTTCCAGTTGCACAGGCCAAAAAACCTTAGTCATCCTCAACTCTTCTCTTTCACTCACACCAATCCAAGGAAAATCTTCATGCCTTTACCTTCAGAAGACATTCAGAGTCCAACCATGTCTTCGGGCCTCGCCTGCTAAGCCCTGCCCTAGCCATCATCCTCTCTCTGTTGGATTATTGCAAATACCTTTTTCCAACTCCTCAGCCTCCTCTAATCTATTCTCAACTCAGCAGCCAGGGAGATCCTGTTAAAACAGAGTCAGGTCATGTTACTCCTCTGCTCAGAACTCTCAGAATATAAGCCAGAGTCTTCACAGTGGTCCGCAGGGCCCAGTGCAGACGGCCACCCCCATGCCCCCCACACACACCCGTTTCTCTGCGATCTCACCTCGTCATGGGCTCTTCTCACCCACCAGCCCCAGCCTCGTCCACCTCTGGGCCTTGGCTGAATAGTTTGACTTGAATAGACTAAATACTCATTAAGACTATGTAATTATATAAACACCCCTCTTCCCACATAACCAGCCCACTGCAAGAAAAAAAAATGTTCAACAATTTTGTGGTGGTTGTCTCTTTATATTTTCTTAATACAATTTTAGAATCAAAAAGAGCCTGCTGTCCTCCATGCCAGTCAAACAGGAGGGGGCATCAGAAACGAGGAGTCAAAACAAACCATCTGTGTTAGTAGCATCGGACAGAAGGTTTGTGGGGGAGAGTGTCACAAGCATAGTACAGGGCGGCTGTGCCCATCTCCCCACAAAGCCTGAGCCTCGGCTCCACCTCAGCTGCTTCCTGTGCTCAGACAATAGGAATCTCTGGAAATATTAGTCATTTCCCCAGACAGGCATGTGCATTTCTCTAGGGAAAAAATCCGCCAGTTACACCAACTTCTCAAAGGGGTCAGCAAGCATTTGAGGATTCTTGCTCTAGAATCAGCCATTTGTCTGTAAATATTTTTACTTGGATTCGAGATTATACCTACAGAGACCATATCTGAGTGAGTTTTAAAAATTATGGAGAAAAATAATTGTATGATGATTGTGATTCATTGTTTCATTTTTAAAATAATTTTTCTGGGCTGATCTAACTGTAGTCCAAACTTTCTTAGAATATTAGCTTTTCACTTGCAGCAAAGTTATTCAAATTTTTGCATAGAACAAAGTCTTCCCATAAAGCTCTAGTAACATAGACCTGGTCTTGACCCCTAGGAAAACTGAACTATTTACTGACTTATTTCTATGTCCTTATTCATAAAATCATGGCAACATGTCCTCCTTTTCCTCCTCCCTCCCTCAGGTATTTACTGAGTCTCTACTATGTTCTAGTCTCAGTGATGAATGAGACAGTATCCCTGCCCTTAAGATGCTCAGTATAATGGAAGGGAGAGATGTAAATAAACAAAGATAAAATGTGATAACTGCTCTCACAGAGATACACAGGTGCAGAGCGGTGTGGTGGTTAAGAACATGGGCTGAGGCTGGACTGCTTGGGTTCAAATTCTGCCTCCTTCTCCATCAAGCCACTAACCTTGCACAGGTGCAAGTAACTGTGCTCCATTCCCTCCACGAAGATGGAGATGAGGAGAGTGCAGACGTTACAAGGCGCTGTGAGGATGAAGTGGGACAATGCACGGAGGTGCTTGGACAACAGCACTGGGCACATGGGTGGGAAGAGCTCTCCAGCTCTTCCGTGCTTAGTTGTCAGGCAATGGAAGCACAAAAAAGGAGGTGACTAAATGGAACTATCTCCCCCAAAGGGGCCTGGGATGGCTTCTCACAGGAGGTGATGAAAGATGAATCCTTTTCCAGGAAGGAAAGAGGAGATGGGCATTCCATAGCAGGAGTGAATAACCAACTACCCTAGGGGTGCAGAGGAGAATGCACTGGAACGGTAAGAATCTGAAGGTGGGGAGATGAGTTACGATGCTGTCAGGCACTCAGGTGAGAAATGAGAGAAGCTTAGAGGCAAAGGGAAGGGGAGGAAGCCAGGGCTCCAGAAGTAGACCTGCTGCCCTACCTGGTGGAGGTAAGGGGAGGACAGGACAGAAACCAAGCATCTGTGTTTAGAGCCTTCAGGGCTCTGGGCCTCCTTCCCAAGCTCTCCGGCCCTTGGCTGGTAAAGACGTAAAAGTAAATCCTTCCCCAAGGAAAGGGACTTCCAGAGCAGACGGTCAGATTCACGAGGTCCCTGAGAGTGACTCTTGGAGCCAAGAGAGAAAACGAAGCCTGCTCAAACACAAGGGGGCTTCTGGGAGAGCAAAGGCAGCCCCTGCAGGCCCTTGATGCAAGATCCAGGGTCTCTCTCAAGACACTTGCTCAGGGTTGGCGACCATTTGTCAGACACAGATAAAACTGAGTGCCTGGCCCAGACAAAGAGTTACTAATAAATCATAAAGAAAAAAGACATAACTCCCTCAGCCCTACCCCTTGGCCTTTGCTGTTAGGTCCTCAACAAACCAGACCTTAGGACATTTACAACCAGGATATCTGAGCCAGGGGCTGTATTCGCCATTGTCTCTTCCCAGCCTATCTCAGGCCACCGCGACCTTCTCCGGTTGCTCACAACGATCTATCACTCAATTTCATCATGCATGATGGGGGAGTGTTGTGTGTTTGTTGTTTTTGTAAATCTGTATAACAACAAACATGAACTAGCAGATACCAAACCTTTAGATCTACATCTCCCTGCTGTTGTCACTGCTACTACAACTGTAAGTAACAGACGCACAAAACTGCAAACATCAGAACACTGTTCCTCCCAGTAGAACCACCCTTCAGACTGAAACAAGACTTCCTCCACAATTTCCGTTTGTTCTTGAGATGCCCAGTCTGAGAGTTCTGAGACTAAGTGACATAAAGATACAGATTTTTCTGCAAAGACTGTGGCTGCCCAGCGACTGCAGAGTCAGGCTGTGGTTCCTCCTCTGTGTCTCAGCCTGTCCCCTCCACTCGAGACAGAGGGGCCCTGGCTGCCCCGCGAGCAGACGCCCCACCGTTTCCTGCTGTAAATCTCCGAGACTATTTTTACTCAAATTTACCGACTCTGGCCCTGCCTTCTGGGTTTCCTTCTTCCTATGAATAGTTTTAAAAAACAAACCAAAGCCAAACAAACAAAATGCAAACACACTAGAGATTTACACACTCCAAAGAAGGGGTGGGACAATGTAAACAAACAAACAGAACAGAAACAGACTCATAGACTTAGAGAACAGACGGGTGGTTGCCAGAGGGGAGAGGGGCTGGGGGACTGGGTGCAGAAGGTGAAGGGACTGAGAAGTACAGATTGGTAGTTACCAAACAGTCACGGGGATGTAAAGGACAGCACAGGGAATATAGTCAATAATATTGTAATAACTATGTGTGGTGCCAGGTGGGCACTTGAGATATCAGGGGAACCACTGTGTAAAGTATAATATTGTCCAACCACTGTGCACTGGAAACTGATACAAAATAACATTGAATGTAAAAAAAAAAAAAAGAAACAAACACATAAAGAAGGGATGGGCCACATAACCCCCAGTCCCACTCCGAGCTCTGGTGTCTGGTCAATCCATCTCGCCAGCATCTCTTGCTGCCATTTGGAGAGACTGTTGCACACAGTCCTTGGAACTTGGAGGAGGAGCCCACACTGCACAGAAGGAGGCTGTGGCTCAGGCTCCCAGCTCCCAGCTCTGAGTGCTCAGAGGTTTCTGCCCCCAGCACACCCATGGGGCAAGGAGCCCAGCCCAAAAAGGCAGAAATTCTCACTGCTCTCCCACTTTCACCTTCTGCTTTCTTTCCCCAAGGACTCACTCTTCTTTTCCATCTGGGAAACTCAAAGGGCCTATCACAACCTCTCTGTCAAATGGGTTTTTCCTCAGTAGATCCATCAGCCCACCTCTTAAAAATGGGTTTAGTAATGGCCTCAAGGGGGTTGGTTTATCTTAGTCAGCTCGGGCTTCCATAACAAAACATCACAGACTGGGTGGCTTAAATAACAGACAGTTATTTCTCTAGAGGCTGGGAAGTCCAAGATCAAGGTGCCAGCAGATTCAGTTCGTGGTGAGGGCCCACCATCTGCCTTGCAGACGGCCACCTTCTCGCCGTGTGCTCACACAGAGGGAGACAGAGAGCTCTGGTCTCCCCTCCTCTTCTTGTACAGGCGCTACTATCCCATTGTTGATGGCCCACACCCATAAACTCACTCAAGCCTAATCACCTCCCCAAGGACCTACCTTCAAATACCATTGCATTGGGGGGTTGGGTCAGGGCTTCAACATATGATTGAAGGGGAACAAAGCACTCAGTCCATTACAGCATCTGAAATGAAAACGGTCTGGTCCTCTTTCCCCTTGGGGAAGGAGCTTCTGCAAAACTAAAAGATTCCTTTTCCTCCAAATCTGACATGATTGATTTGCAGGGGCTTCCCTCTGTGGAACAAACAAATAGGAAACACACATGAACACGAGTTACGTTTTCAGCAGGATGAACTGCTGCTCGTCGTGATAAGCTCTATAGTGATCGGGCCCAAGGCTTTTTCTTCCACATTTTCTGCCCAGATGACTATCCCCAGTCACAGTAGAGAAGTGCGGTAGAAGATCCCACAGAAAGGGAAATATGTGCAAAGTCTGCCTGTGTTTTCATAGAGGTTGAATCCCAGTGAGGACAGGGGTTTAAATGTCCCTCTACCCACTCCCACCAATGCTCTAACCTCCACTACATCTCTGCCAATGGTTACCTGGCTTATGAGAGAAAACTCCAGCCCCAGACTACTTGCTGCTTCTTGCTGGCTTGTTTATTTGCTTGCATACTTCAGAAAGCACACACACACTCTTAGAAGGTCATTAAGTAGCAGACAAAGCCTGGGTTTTGGCGTTAAACAGACATAAACATCCCAGCTCTGCCTCTTTCTGTCTGGATTGAGAGAAATGTATTAACATTTTTGAGCTTTAATGTTTTGATCTGCTAAAAAAAATGGAGGGGAGGTGGGAGGGCAGTAATAACTACTTCCTGGAGTCTTCTGGGAATTTGTTAGATAACAAAGTGTCCATTATAGAGTAGGTATCAATCAGTGTTAGTTCCTTTCCCACTTCCTCATCACATTCCCTTCTAGCCTTTCATCCAATAGGGATAACTTGACTGGTAATATGGGTTAATACAGAAACACTGTGGCCAGCATACCATTGACAAAAGCATTACAAGGCACAATAAAAGAGTCTTTATATTGAAAAGAGAGGCCCTTGCCGGGCAAGTACACTCATAAACCTGTGATAATTACTGTCCTCACTTGATTGCAAATCTTCAAAGGCATGGCTCTTGTCTCCCGTCCCCCAAAGAACCTACCATAGGTGCTATGTTGGGAGAAACTTAAGAATATTTCTAAGTTGAATTATGTTGTCTTTTCTGTAAATTCTCCTTCAGAAATGTAAAGAGATCATGACAGAAATACAAATAATATTTGGATGTCTGTTATTTTTGGATCGTCTGCATCTCTGTAGGGAGGCGGAGCCTTGTTCCTGCATGTAAACAGTCAGAAAGAAATGTCACATCTCCAAGACTGGCTCTGTTGCATGAATGAATAACTAGGTGTTAAGTGCTAATCAAACTTCTGTAAAATTTCATTATGTGTATGATTAAATACATTTCTCCTTTTAAGAGACCAGAGTATTTGAAAAGTTTATTTTGAGTCACCCCTATTTTCCTAGTGCCTAGCAAGTTACTCATGAGTTGGGAGACAGATGGGGGAAATTGTGGATTCCTGAGTTTCTATTCTACTTTGAGAATATTTCTGAAAAATGTAATGAAAGCAGAATTTAGGATTATACTTAAAGATCTAATATAGGACTATACTTAAAGATCTAATATATGAATTATATACCTAAAATAATTTAAATATCCACATTATAACTTAAATTTTAATACTATATTCTGTACAGTTTGTTGAGTTACTGTGTAAGGTATGGTCATAACATAAGTTACTTTGAAATCATAGACAGAAGTCATCCTCTCTGAATGAATAATACAAATCAATATATACTAATGAGCTTAACCACTGCAGAAATAACCCTTCCCCAGAGATAATTTGTAAATGTTGCTCTTATAAACATAAGAAAACCTAAATCCAATTAAGGTAATTAAAATAGGGCTTTTGAGAACTAGTTACAAAGAAGGAGAATGTTAGAAGAAAGGTGGTCTCTGCTCTTGTGCAGCTCTCAGCGCTCCGTATTACCGCCTCGTATCTGTGTGCCCCTCCCCCCCGAACTGTACCCTCCACGAGAACAGGGCCCTTTCTTCTTCAGCACAGCATCCCCAGCTCCCAGCCGAGACCCCCGGCACACCATGAGTGGTTTTGAGAAGAGTCTAGCTGTCCCCTCTTGTCCCCTCCAGATTCTAAACCACTTGGGAAGAGCCTGCCAGAGAATCGGTACATCAGCTTTCTTAGTGCTAAAACTGGAAAGCTTAAACAGTTCTCACAATTTCCTCCTGCGATGAGACACTGGAGCAGGGAGAACTTGGTGTCCGGGACCGACCCTCTTTACATGGAGGAGGCAGTAAGGCTAGGAGTGTGTGTGTGTGTGTGTGTGTGTGTGTGTAACCTGTAGGGAATCAAGGCCTCTTACTGTCAGAAACTGTGGAGGGTCTGAGGTTTACCCTACTTGCAAGCTAATAGGCTGGCTTCTAAACTTCCATGGATGCTGGCAAGAAGAGGTGAGACTACTGGATCAGAGGTGAAGAACTTTGTTACAACAGCTGTAACAGCCAGAGTGTCAGCCTGGTGTTCACACCAGTTTCCTCTGCCTCCCCAACCAGGGCCCAGACACACCTGCACGTGCAGAGGACTGTATGGCAGGAGAGGACGTCTGAGCATGCGTGATCCACCACTCTTTCTCCACGTTTCTTACTGCAGATGCAACCCTGAGTGGTGGCCTGTGCAAAGGGCAGCCAGGGTCCAAATTCATGGCGCACACAGGAAGAACATATAGAGATGCCCAGGGCCCGTAGCAGATTTGCCCCTTTCTCACCAATCAAATCAGGTTCCCCTTCCCATGGAAGCAGAAGAGGAAGGTGAAGAGAACATGGTGTTATTTCAACACTTCTCTCTTCTGGGGAACAGAGTAGTGGTCCCCTTATGGGAACACTATTCAACTTCTGCTCACAACCCGCTGGCTTAACAAGCAGGTCAACAGGTTGGTGGCTGCCCCCTTCAGATAATCCTCCTCCTACATTTATCAGGATATATCTGAATCCACAAGTGTTCCTTTGTATTACCCTTTGGAACAAACCATGGGCAGTTCAGATACTTCGACTGTGACGGTGAGTTGTAGGTCAGCTTGGCTAGGCTATGGCAGCCGGTTATTTAATCAAACACTAATGTAGGTGTTGCTGTGATGGTATTTTGTAGATGTGGTTAACATCCACAATCAGTTGTCTTTAAGTAAAGAAGATTGCCCCAATAATGTGTGTGTGTGTGTGTGTGTGTGTGTGTGTGCACGCGCACGGGGGCCGGGGGGGGGGGGGCTCATCCAATCATCTGCAAGGCCTAAAGAGCAAACCTGAGGTTTCCCTGAGGAAGAAGAAATTCCCTCACAAGACTGCAACCTTAGTTGCTGCCTGAGAGTTCCCAGCCTCCCAGCCTCCCAGCCTGTCGTACAGACTTCAGACTTACCAGCCCCCACGATGCATGAGAAAATTCCTTGAATATATCCTACTGGTTCTGTTTCTCTGGAGAACCCTGACTGAAATACACACACATCAAAAATAGGTCAGAAGAGATAGTAATTAAATAAATTGACATCGCTGCTGCATCTTGCTCACCACACAACCTTGACGTTGCTTCCTCAGGGCCTCCAGGCTCTGGATACCCGGCGAACCCAGGCCTCAGCAGTCCGGCTGCTGCGAGTTAACAGGCTGGCGCCCTTGCTGTACGGTCTGTATTCTCTGAACCCAAATATCAGAGCACATGGCCTGAAGATAGAGATGTACTCACCAAGAAAAGAAAGGAAAGAATATTTGAAACCAGGTCTGCCCTAAAAAATCTGGGACAGACAATTGCTGTATTTATACATCATACAGGTTTGCTTCACCCCAATCAGTAGCCTGTTCCAGATAAACTCGAACCGCACCTCACAAAGCCCAGCTTCTGCACACCACAAGATTGAGGATCTCCCAATTATTCAACAAATATCCACTGAATACGTGGCAGGCCAGCCACCGATCTTGGCATTTCACGTAAAAAGAAGGCACTATTTCTCTCACCAGTAATTCACAGCCTCTGGGACAGAGGGGCAATTAAGGAAGTGATTACAAAACTCAACAGTTGGGCCCTGGCAACGCCAGACCCCAGGTACCTCCCAAGGCTGCACCACCCAGCTCCAGAGGCCCCTACAAGGGGCCCCCTTCTGCACCATTTCGTCCTTTTTTAAATTCAACAAAGGTTCTCTGTGGAGTCCAAAGTAACTAAATTCTTCTCTAGGCAGCTCAGAGCCACCTCAGCCTCCCATGTCCGTGGCTCTCAGTTGGCCGAGGAGAAGCCGCTGGCACAAGGCCCGCCCCAAGGGCAGCCATTCCCAGTCTGCCGGGCCCTGCGCCCTGCCCAGGCAGGCCTCGTGGCCACCAGCAGCCATCCCAGGCCTCTGGATCCAGGGCCCATTCCTTTCGGGCTGTAATCACCTCTCCTAACTGGATCCCCGCACCCCAACCAGCCACTAGTGAATAAACGCTGCTTTCCCAGAGTCTGGTTCAGCCTAAGAGTCCAGGGAAAGAGGGAAGGAGGCGAAGGGAAACGGGAAAGGATTTAAAGAGACTATACAAATGAGTAAAGCTTGTAGCAAAGGAATAAAGACACTAACCTGCTGAAGGAAGAGCCTTAGTTTGCATACTATCAGCTCCGAACCAGCAGCATTATTTTTGGGCAAACGATTCAACCTCTCCGACCCTCAGTTTCCTCTTCTGTGACAGTGTTGACCTGACAGAGATAAAATGAGATGTCACAGAGCACTGAGCAGAGTGTCTGGCAGACAGTTGACATTCCATATAATTTTACTGTTATTATAATTTTTACATCACTGCTCCTGACATGCAATTCCTCACCTATAAAACGAGGGGTTGAATCACATGCACCCCAACTCCCTTCAAGTCCAAAATTCTGTAACTTATCGCAATAAGGCAGAAATCAACTCTTTTTACATCAGCTCCACTTAACATAGGACAGTGGGTGAGGAGAGCAGAGGTGCTGGAGCCTGACCTTGAACTGTGTCTCAGCAGCACCCAGGTCAGCTCCAGTGCCCAGTGCAGGGCGATGCTGTCACTGATTGTAGCAGAAAGGCTTCTGTCCCTGGTTCTGCCCTGCCCAGTCTGACCTGTGCCTTGGCCCCCTGCTGAAGGCCAAGCTAACATTAAATCCCACTGCTCAGCTCATACTGTATTGCTATTGATTGCCACGTTGTGTCTTCGATTAGCTTTCATGCATTCCATATTCAGCCATGTAGAGCTTGCTGAAATCAGTAGACACAGTCACCTCTCAATTCCCTGCAGGCTTTCAAATGTTTTCAGGACTGTGAATTTCTTAGAGAAGTGAACAAAATTTTCCTCAACAACTGGTGGCTTTCACTGCAACTGACATTGAACAAGTAAGGAAAAGAGGCTCAAAAAGTTCTGCCTGCAAAGAATATAAATTACTAACGTTCAATTTCAATGAGTTATTTCAGCAATAAAACTGTTTGGGGAAAGACAGAAGAATTGTGTCTCTTAATCTTACACTCCCAGAATTCTGTTATTAAATGTGTGCAGGGCAACAGCGGATTATAGATTCACTTGAAGAATCATTTAATTCCTCAAAACCATCAGGACTCAAGTGGAATTTGAAAGTGGAATTGGACAGAAGATTTGTTGCTCACTAGTTAGTCAATAGAACTGAGCCATATGGGTGATTTTTCTCTCATTAACAAATCTTTCAATACTTGAAAAGTAATAACTTCTTAAGAATTACACTTATCTGGGACAAACAGGATAGGAAACTACAATTTTTCTTACTTCATATTCCACATACCTCTCCTTTTCCCATAAATAAATCTCCCACCTTTTCTGATAAAGTTTGCTTCAATTTCTCTCTGCCCCTCCCCTCAAAAAGAAAATCACAAGTTTAGCTAAAAATTAGATTGCAGGCACTAAATTGTCCCCATTGACTCCTCGGTCTTCGTGCTGACTCCTAAGTAGACTATGAGATCCTCAGCAGCAGAAACACCAGCAGAAGCTTTTCTTGAGTCCTCCCACATGCCCAGAACACTAGTCCTCAACCAGGGCAATACTGCAGTGTCTGGGCACATTTTTATTGTCACAGCAAGACTGTGGCAGGTGCTACTGGCATCAAGTAGATAGAGGCCAGGATGCTGCTAAACATCCAATGCACTGGACAGCCCCTCAACAAAGAACTATCTCATCTGTGTTAGTCAACATTCTCCAGAGAAACAGGCCTATAATGATAGCACTTACATGTATTTATATTTTATTTTATTATTTTATAATATTTCTAATTATTATGATATACAAAGAGATTTAGCATAAAGTATTGGCTCACATTCTTACAGAGGACAGCAAGTCCAGATCCCACAGAGCCCATGTCCCAGTGCAAGTATGAAGGCTGGCAGGCCACTATAGACCCAGGAAAAGCTGATTGATGTCCCAGTTCAAAGGCCAGCATGCAAGAGGATTCTCTCTTACTCAGGGAAGGATAAGCCTTTTGTTCTGTTCAGGCCTTTGACTGATTGGTTGAGGCCCACCCACATTAGGGAAGGGAATCTGCTTTACTCAAAATTCACTAATTTAAATGTTAATCTATTCCAAAAATACTCTCAAAAAAGACCCAGAATTATGTTTGACCATATATCGGGGCACCCTGTGGCCTAGTCAAACTGACACATAAAATTTATCATCATGCCACCCAAAATGTTCATGGTGGTAGGGTTAGCAGGCCTGATCTAAAATTATTGTAAGCTCATGATAAATGCCTGAAAATGCTTGTTGTTGGAAGACAACTGGCTTGTGCTCACATTAACACATAGGAGAGCTCAAAGTGGGCTGGAACAGTCAGGGAATTTACAAAGGAGCTGGGCTAGGTAGAAACTTGTAGCTTCCTTGGTCAAATGTAGGCAGGCCCTTGGGTGGGCAGGCAGAACAGGAGACATTCCAGAATGGGACAAGCCGCATAAGCATGCAAGGGGTCTGAGAGAACTGAACCCCATTGGCTAAAACCCTAAAGAACCCTTGAGCCCTGGGTGCTGTGGCTCAGTGGATTAAGCGCCAACCTGGGAACCAAAGGGCCACTGGTTCTATTCCCAGGCAGGGCACATGCCTGAGTTGCAGGCCAGGTCCCCAGTAGGAAGCACACGAGAGGCAACCACAGGTTACTGTTTTTCTCCCTCTCTTTCTCCTTTCCCCTCTCTCGAAAAATAAAATAAATAAAATCTTAAAAAAAGAAACCCTTGAGATTATGGGGATCTCAGTAGAACAGAACCTACTATCAAATTTGAGTGAATGATGTGGTTTTGTTTCTAAAACAACTGAAATTGTTTTAGGGGAAAAGAGTAAGAAAAAACGTATCTTTAGCAACATTTATGTTCATATAAGGAGCACCACTAATTTATATTAGCACGTTATACAGATGAAGAAACTGAGACATGGAGACATTAACCATAAAGTTTGGAAATTTTGGCTTTATAATTTGGTGAATTTGCTTACTTACATCTTTTGATGTGAGTCAGGTGTTCCTAGAGACAATGCCATTGATGCACAGTATCACGTGGTGTTTCTAGCAAGGTCTCAGGAGCCAGAGCATGTGGACTCAGACTGCATCACCACCTTGTAGTTTTGTGGCCTTGGGCGAGGGGCTGAACTTGTGAGTATTAAGTTAGCTCAGCTCATCAGTGTAAAGCAGGCAGAATAGAGCCAGGGACAAAGAATA